GTTAAGGTGTTTCCGCGTGGATTGGAAGAGAACATTGGGGCGGTGAACGAACTAGGACCTTTGCTTCCTGATCGATGGTACCATTAACGAATGCGCTACCTTTGCCCCATAATTATATTTGGGGGATCTTTTCTCGTAGATTTCAGAATAATGCCTAAATAAGTCGATTAATCTTGTAGAAAATTTTTCGTATTTTATTGGCCGTAATAAAAACCTCATCACTGTACCCATTTTCACTTGATTCCTGTCTAAAATTTGAACAGCTATTAGCTACCAACAGTTACTTACCTTGTGTTGTCGTAAAGGTGCTGGTACTTCATTTATTCGTTTTGTTGTCCTGTAACCGTCATTCATACACGTGGGTGGTTTAGTTCGTTTATGGATTAGGTTTTGGCTTGGGGATCTGTTACCGTCTCTTTTTGCAGAAATGATGATTACTTGTTGAGCGTGGTTTTTCCTGGATAGCCGAGATATGCATGATGAATAATCTCTGGTCCTTCCGAATTGGAGGGAGATTTGCTGCTGCGTGAGCAGGATTTTTCCAGGATGGCAGCGATTTCTATGATCAGTTGACCGGATTGGTGTAATAGATTGTATATATTTGTAAGTCCATATGTGAAACATGATTAGAACTAATGATGTGAATAAATATAAAACATGTTTACTAAATTGTTTGAGGACAAATAACTACCACTTTCTGGCGAAGACTTTGGCCAGACTGACCTCGGGAATTCAGGGAATCACGATAGCTAAACCAGCAAAACTTCGAAAAATGGAGATTCCGCACACCCGCGGGGTTCCGCACAACCAGTGAGGACGGGCCGTCTAAGTATCCAACTAAGTAAATACCAGTTTAATACAAATATGTCTCGAATAAATAGTAGAACAAATGGATTTTTGGCATAAGACATAGTACTAATGAGTTTATAATAAAAATTTGGTGCATATCTCACGTTTACCCATCTGTAGTCCTTCAAATCGTCAAGTAGTTTGATCTGGTGACAGTAAATTCCCCAGAATATCGTTCTCCATTCATTCTCCTATCGTGCTTCCCAGATGAATGAATTTCCTTGAAGCAAGCAGACCAATCAAGGTGAATCAAAAACTTGCAAATCATTAAGAAATTGGTCTTTGTCAGTGATCGATATTTTGGGTTTCATGGCTCGACAGTGTTTGAATAAATGCTTACGTGCATCAGGTATTGATTGCATTGAATTTTTTTCCTTTAAATGAGCAGATTTCCCAGCTAACTACTATCATATTTTATTGGAATGAAATCTCTCGATGTTATCGCTTTTACCAGTTCTTACTTCTAAACTTTTACTAGTTTACTAGTTCCTCTCCCTCTCTCTCCAGATGTCCACCATGTGTGGCGGCAACAGGCGGTCGACTGGTGGTGGAAACGGCTGGCCGAGGCGGCGGGCAGAGACTTTGCATTTCGCTCCACCCCGTTCGCCTTAACCTCGTTAATCCGTTGGATTCGTGGAACAGAAGCTGATTTTCAATCACCTTTCGTTGCTACTCATTTCTTAAGTGCTAAAATCAAAAACTATCCCTTTGCTTATTTATGTTTAGTATTTTTGCTCTTAAATGAAATAGTTCAATTTGAAATTTGAATTGAATTTGAATTTGAATTTGAACGATTGTTTCTGTGCTTCATTTAAATCATTAGTTATTAGTCGTTAAATCATTTAATCGCCAGAACGTTTAGTGTTTTCTCTTGAGAATTTACTGAGAGCTTTCTGTTGTATGACGAGGTTCCACCAGGTAAACTTTACGATCAAGTGATAGATGATGTAAATTTTAAAGAGGATTCGAGAATATAAGCAACTGTGAGGTTTAAAGCCTCAGAAAACTCGGAAACATTTAGAAAGTGCTCTTCTTCATCAGCAAAAGATCATTGTTTTTTGGGAATTCAATTCGAGAATTTTCTTTCCCATTAGTGCGGAGATGGACTCCGTCGTTGGGTACAGCCGGTCTCAATAAGCCGCCTATTCAAAAAGGTCGCCTTTGTCGTTTTCTTTTCTTCTGAAAGTAATTTTCTTACTTTTTTCGTATCGATTTTTTTCAAAAAATGGTTTATGAATGTCATTTTAATGAATGGAGAAAAACCCAAATTCGGTTTAATGGCCTTTTTTTTTCAATTTTCCTGTGTTGCTTCTTGAAGAAACGAAAGTAAAACAGTTATCCAAATATTTTTTCAGCCTCACTTTTCAACCCACGTTTCGATATTACTAACCTGTTATTATAGTGTTAAAGGGGAAATAGATCAGTGTTGATGATGGCGTCGTCTATCATCAGCACAGTGCTAGTTCGAACCTATATTGGCCTCACCAAGTATCTCATTCCTCCGGGTTCGGGAAATGGATACCATTTTTGTCTGCGAGCACGTCGCTCACTGAAATCTAAGTGGAAACTCTTTGTCTCGTCTATGTCCAGGACTCCATGACGAATCGACTCGACCAGCATTCAACTATATTTATGGCGGAACGAAAATCCTCATGCAGAGACCGATCCCACAGGAAAAAAGTAGAAGACCTTCGTGGATTACGAATATAAGGAAACGAATCGAATGCAGGTAGTACTGGGATCCGCACAGTAGATGGGAAAGACGGATCGTAGAAAAAAATAAAATAAAGACATCGTGTTTTTATTGTTTATTATCGATATTAGGGCGCATGTGGCGCAATGGTCGGAGGCGCCGTATAACACACATGTGAAATAGATCCCCGCGCCCATGGCCCACCAAGCTTTCCATCACTTCGGGTCCTAGTCATGTTTAATAACTATTATTTCCTTATCGGCATATGACAGTAATACAATGTATAATGTGGCATTAATATTTTTGCTTATTATCATAGTATTTAGTGTTTGATAGCCCTTTCATGTGTCAATTTTCTCGATAAACGCCCACAATCTCAGACAATGACTTCAATCCATGAATTCGCGTTAATATTTGCGGCTTTCAACTTCACGGACCATATCCCAGCCTATATGAGGCCTTTTATTCTTTCTTAATGGCACCGAAGACCACTAAAATCTGTCGATTTTTACGTGTGGGATGTGCCGTCCTCATCCAACCGCAACGAAATTTTGTTAGATTATTAAATTAATACGAGGTTGTTGTAGAACCCGTGAATTCAACTATAAAAAATATGGTGAATTCTTTCTAGTGAACAAATCGTTTTTTTTCTTTTTCCCTTTTTCCCATTGTTTCCTTTTCTTTGCTTCCTTTTTTTCATCAGAGCTCGTAGCTCAGCAGAACGCATACATGGCGTCCCCGAATGGCATCATGGATATTGGCAGCTGATGGAATAGTGCTTGAAATTCTATAGAATTTAAATTTTTTCGAAAATATAAACTTTGAACAAATTTAAAAAACAACTTTCAAGTAATCCTTGTGCTCTAAACAATGTAGAAATTCTGAATACCTTAACAGCTTCAGTTATCAAAAAATTATACCAAATTGTCAAAGTAAAGGAAAAACAGTCATGTGAAATGTCTAGAAGAAACACATGAACAGTGAGAAAGAAGCTGGAGAGTCAGTCCGGCAACAATGTTGAAGAGGATTCTACAGGGGTTTTCTAACTCCCTTGTTAACGAAAGCTAAATAGAGGCTTTCTCCACATTTTCATTTTTTCCTTAAGGTCCCTACTCTCTTTGTCATCTTTTTACTTTGTGTTTTCTATTCGTTTGCAAATAAAGATATGCTATATGTTTATTTAGTATTTTTACCAAATTATAGTTTATTAATATTAAAGTAATAGCCCGAAGTTTATTGGCACAGCCGTGCTCTCCGTTTAATCGTCGTTTCATGGTTTTTGCCGTCCATTGGCGCTAATGAAAATGCCATTAATCAGATGCTTATTGATCGATTTGTTGTATACATATGTTCCAGTATATTTTACACTGCTATTCGATACAGTTGTTCTTCTATTCTTCTCTATATAACTTCAACTTTACGACTTTAGGAGGAAATTGTTTTAGAACTTGATTCAAACGCTGATTTTTTGTTTCATTGTATTGACAAACTGGAGTTGGGCTGTTGAAAGAATTCGTTAATTTATCAATGGATCAAAATATTGATTTTTTGACATCAAATAAAAGTGGGCTTTCAAAAATACTACTACAACGATTTCTTTGCTTGTTTATTCCCTTCCACCTTTTTCCATTCATTCGGCTCACTTGATAAGGATAATTATTTTCCAAAATCTTCAGCGTATTATTTAATCACTAAACGCTTTTTAAGAACGCGAGTGGTGCAGTGATAGTGACGCCGATCACTACAGGCACTGTGGTGGTTCGACCCTGCCCCGAGCTCACAAACCCTCTCTCATCCTTCTATGGTCGGCAAATCGCTGCCAGATTTGTCTGAAAAAAGTCCACTTTCTGCTATCGAAGTGGGAGCACTCTAGCCAGGTTGTCTCAGGACTCCAGAGAGAATCGACTCGACCGGCATTTAGCGACATTCATGACGAAAGGTAGATCCTCAGGCAGCAGCCGAACCCACACGAATGGAAGACCTCCTTAGACAAGAGTAAACAATCCCAAAAGAGAATGCAAGAAATGCTGTAAACCGCATAGATGATGTGTAAATAAATAATAAACTCTTTTAAAATCTATTGGTATCCCTTCCATTCTTTTTTTCGGTCACGCTATGCTTACTTCTAGAAGTTTCTTAATCACTTTCTTTCGTTTATACCCTTTGATCTTTGTTTACTTTCTTCGTTTGAGCCGTTAAAATTGTTCTAGGCAGAATTGGTCAACTCCCAATTTCGGAGCTTCTATCTCTTTTTTCATTAAATGTCATTTTTTTATTTTTTGGATCGTGTCACTTACTTCTACGAACATTTCATATCGGATTTTGCATTTTTTGCGTCATACACCTTTCCTCTCGTCTTCTGGATGTTTCTGGTTACTTCTATGAATCGATATTTCAGGAGAAATCCATAGATTGTTGAGGAGTGTAGTTGGGACGATTCTTCCCATTTCATGACTGGATGCGCGACGAATTACGTCGGCATCAGAATATCGGTGGTTCCGATGAGCCGCAATGTAAATTCAATGAGACACCGTTCGATTCGGTGTTTGACATCGGTGATGAACTTGGCAGGTTCGAAACGGCACTCTTTCTTTCTTCTTTTTTTGCTCTTAAAATATCCTTCTCTTCACCTTTTTTATCTACAGTTGAGATCCTGTGAGTACTGCATTGATTTCTGGCTTGTGTTTTAACCATGTTCCTTTCTGTATATCGTTAAGTGTAGTGGAAAACATGTAAAGACCTAATTGTAGTGTATTTACTTCGAAATTTTCGATAAGGGTAGTACTACAAACTTTTTTCTAATGGCTTTTATAGCTAGATAAAAGGCGACTAACGACATTGATCAACCCGTTAGACTTCACGCATCCGTTTCAATTCATGACATCGAAAATATAACTGGAACCATATTTGGCCTGTAAATTGACTTGGGATCCTTACCAGTGTATCCAACTCAGTGTTGTTATGCTCTTATGCAAAGTTGCTAATAGTTTGAATACTCAGAAGCGCTGGGAATCTGATATTTCGGAGCTCGATGTCGTACCAACGACCCTGTGAGTAGTGCAGAACACCTCTAACCATTGCGCTACACGTATGTAATTAGGTATTTAACTTAAGGTTCCAATCATTTTCTATTATAGTGGACAGTTTGCCATCGTACGTAAAGTAGTCAACAAAGTGACTGGTGAAGAATTCGCGGCGAAGTTCATCAAAAAACGACGTTATGCGACATCAAGGAGGGGTGTTACTAGAGCAAACATTGAGAGAGAAGTGAGTTTAGCTTTAATGCACTTCGCTGTTCGACTAATGATTACACTTAACGGCGTTTAACTGATTGCTATAGAAGTTTCTTTTAGCAGTTCTTAATTGTTCTGTCTAGAAGGACTTGACGAAAAAAAAAAAACAGAAAATCGTCATTAAGAGACTATAAGGAAACTTTCTAAATACCGTAATTTAACGATTTAATAAAAAACGAGAAGAACCTTAGATACACTCTATCAACATTCTTTGGTTGTCTCCACCCTCCTCAGCGAATCATCAACAACGATAGGTGTGGATATTTAAGAAGCATTTGAAACGGGAAATTTTTTCCTAAGCTTAAAACTCCTTTGAGTTAGGATTTTATGTTTTAAGTTAGTATTTGGCACGTTATTTATCCATTTTTTCGCTTATTTATGCAGTTTTAAGGACAAATTATGTTTATTTACCTACTTTTCCATTTTTTGTTCTAAACGTAAACTTTTTATTAGCCTTGGGATTGTTACCTATTCAGTTAAACATTATTTTTACGTACTTGAATACTTGGATGGACCGTCCTCACTATTTGTGCGGGCCACAGCATAATCTTCGTTGTTCCGGAGTTTTGCTGGTTCTCTGGAGTCCCGAGGTCAGTCAGGCCAAAGTCTGCCCCAGTTCGTCACAACCACAGGTAGTCGCCGTCCTTGTGGATCAGACGGAGATTTGCCATCACGCGACTACTTTGCCTGATGGAAACGTCAAACTCCTTCTCAGCTTGAGGGACCCTGGTGGGAGGAAGGAGGGAGTGGAAGGATGAATTCCCTCGCTGTACATCGCAGTTCAGCACCCAGGAACATCTCTCAGCCACGATGAGACGGTAAACCGCAGGGAAGAACCTTATTCTAATCTTCTGCATTGAAATAGCTAACGAGGAATTTGTTGCAGTACAATATCTATTTTATTTTGACAAATAGTTTTGTGGATTAAAACATCTTTCAGAAGCTATAAATGGGTTATGTGGCCTGATCTCCAACACTTTTTTCCTCGATCAAGTGTTTTTCTAATCTCGTGGTTAAGCTTTAAACTCACATCTCGTTGACGGCATAGTAAAAAAATTCTACAAAATCTTTCGATGGAGGTTAGAAAAACCACGTGATTACCTTTCGACTTCGTAAACGAGAATCAACAATTAAATAGATGAACTAGCAAGGAGTACCGAAAATTCATAAGATCTGACAAAAAGGGCCGGATGATTGATGATTGGAGGATTCGGTGACTCACTCCTTGTCTCAAATCGTCTTTTCTTATGATAGAGCCACTCGCTTCTTAATGTCATGTACCTATCGATAAAATACCGTAGCTCTTTTACAAATTTTTTTCTATAATGGTATTAGAGACATGTTCGATCATTGGACAGTGCTCCAGGTTAATATGGCCTGTAGAGATTGTGAGAAATCGGTTATCTATCAAAATATCACCTATAATAGAATGAATATTATATGAATAGTCCGATATGAGTTCATCAAAACTACCATCAATTACCTATGATTTCCATTTCTTTGAAATTTTTTTTAGGTACTGGTATTGCGTCTCGTTGGTGGTCATAGCAATGTTATCGAATTACATGAAGTCTACGAGACACCAAGTGACGTCATTCTTGTGCTCGAACTGTAGGTCTTCTTTTTAAATACATTTAGTGTAATATCGATTGCTTTCTTCAATATTACTTGTTTCTAGCTATATCTATGCGTCTTGAGATTCGCCTATGTTTTTTTATTTAGATATTTTTATTACTTTGTTGTGATTCTCTCAATTAGCTATGCATCGTGTAAAGTTATATCCCGGAAGCCTCACATTCTTTCGTGAAATTTGGCGTCGCTTTCAGCTTGCTAATTCTTATTTGTTTATGAGTTTTTACTTCTTTCATTAGTGATTTTCTGAATTACCTATTGATGAAATTAGAATGCCGAGTTCGGTAAATTTCCCCTTTTCTTTGTTGTCCTCATAGTAAATGTAAATTTCCATTTCTCTTTCGCCATTAGGAGAGCATGCAGCGATTGCTTTCTAACTCACTGAAAATTTTAGAAACTAAAAAATAGAAAAATAGGAAAAAATTATGAAAAACATGGAATATAGCCGCCGTTTTTTCGTTCAGTCATATCAGTCGTTTCATATGTTTTACAAGACATTCCCTAGTTATCACCTTTAATTTTGAGCAGTCTGTATCTTTCTAATTACCTCATAAATCCTAAATTTATCGATTAGAAGTAAGTTTTGCTCATATCTCGTTATCCTATGGTTGTATATCATATATAATATCCTGCCGTCAGAAAGACAATAGGTAGTGAATAAAAGTTGAAGCGTTGTCATTTCAATCACAAATATTCTATGAGATACTTTTTCGATTATGAAGCAAACACGAGGTTGGTAAAAGAAACTTATTCCGCTGACATTTTGACGTCGCCTTCTTCACAGCCGGATTGGTTGGAATCGATGATCCACATCGGTGGAAAAGTGTTCCGTGCGATTCGTCCATTCCAAACAACTTGTGACGACCATCACTTCTTTGGAGATTTCATACTCCATCGTTAAGTCGGCTTAATCTCATTATATTGGCAAATTATCGCAGACATTGGGCTTAACTACCCAAGTTCAAGGCTCTGATGTGGAGAAACTGATTCCCGCGTAACGGCAAGAACTAGAGGACTAATCAATGAGCCGCTATAAAGGTCACTGTGACGGTGCTTTAGCATTCGATCAATAAATTGATAGATGGGCCTTTTCTAAGCATGCTATAAGCTGATCATGGATTTTCGGCTTCAGACCTTTGTTACGAATTTTAGTGTGTCTGGTGGTGAACTATTCGATCATGTGTGTGCCCGGGAATGTCTGGACGAGGTGGAGGCGGCGGCGTTTGTTCGACAAATCCTCCTTGGACTTAAACATTTACATAGTCTCAATATCGTCCATCTTGACATAAAAGTATGTCACGTAGGCTTTTTGCTTCTTCTCAAGTTCTTTTTGTTTTGTTTTTATTTCTTAATTTTGTTATTTATGTTTTTTATTCTGTGCATTCTGTTTACTGTTGTTCAGCCCGAGAATGTGATGTTAAAAAAGCGAGGTGATTCTCAAGTAAAGTTGATCGATTTCGGTCTTTCACGACTTATTAGGCCTGGTCATAGCGTCAAGGATATGGTTGGAACACCAGAGTTTGTTGGTGAGCTCTTCATCTAGCCTTGTCTTAAATTCGGTGAATAGCACAGAACTTGTCAGTTATGTTTTCTCAGGAATTTTCTTGATTTCTCTTTTACTATTCGTACCATTACTTTTTGAGCTTTTTCAGTCTTTCAATGGGTTCTGTGCTTCTTTCTGAAGCATTTATTTACTTTTTATTTCGTAGCACTTATTGTAGACGGTAGCTAAACCAACATTTGAATGGATCAGCTTCACGAATTGCGCTTATCCAACCATAATTCCTGTTTTAGTTGAAGGATAAGTTTTTCCCCTAAGCTATTGTGACATTAGTTCAAAGACTTTTTCAGATCATTAGCGTAGTCAATAGCCAATCGTTGTAAATCGAGAGGAGCTCTGAGTTCAGCTCGTTTTTTCTTAGATAGCAACGATCCATACCCATTGCCCTACTCCCAGCTGGCTTTGTGGATACAAGTGCTGAATCCCTTCATAGCTTAGATCACTTCGGTGTGGATGAACTCGCGAAATAATCGTAATAATACCATTCACAATCACTGAATGTTGGTTCTAAGGATTTTGTAAAGAATAGCTTCACAAGGAAAAGAAATTATCTATTTAAAGAGCAAAATTTACGAATAAGTGAAGAAAATATACAATTTCAGCTCCTGAGGTCGTGAACTACGAGGCGTTAAGCCCGGCGACAGACATGTGGGCGCTCGGTGTTGTGACTTACATCCTGTAAATTGTCTTTGAATATTTCATTTACGCAACACTATAAAAATTCAGAAATGTGGACACACATGAGTGTTTATTTCCTTCGTCATTATTTTTGCTCTATAACAAATTCTAACAGATAAATAAGTTTCCAGCCTCTCTGGTGGAAGTCCATTCCTTGGCGATACCCGTGATGAGACTTTTTGCAATATCACCGGTGTAAATTATCATTTTTCTGAAAGGTATGCTAAGTTATCTATTTTTCTACATTCCCTTAAGTACCATGCTATCAGGGTTTTTCATAGATCCTTCTAGAGTTTCTTTTTGTTGTGGAAGACACGAGTTTTCTGAGAAAGGTTTAAAAATGACTGTAGTTGATTGGCGGTGATCTCGAAAGTGTCAGCGCATTCATTCTTTTTAGATTAGTTTTGATACAACTTTTATGTTGTTCGTACGAACTTGTAGCAAATAATTATTCAATACTTGACCTACAGACCGATCAATAGTAATTAACTATTACTCTTTTGGTTAAACCTTCATTAATCGTGAAAATTACATCATGCATATATATATATACATATATATATATATATATATATATATATATATATATATGTTTACGGGCTAAGCTTGAAAAGATGTGCATGTTTTGTAGGCTGGTTTAACTTTAACCCAAGACAGTGAGATACCCCTCACGAACTAACTCCTTCAATATCTATCGGCGAAAAAGGAAAACGAAACCCCCTATTTCTCTATATGGTGTCAACCTGCGATGGTTCTAATTCCTGCATTCCTTGAGCTACGTGTAGGGTTAGTATGTGAAAGATCCAAACCATCTATATCATCTATCTACCTCCCTGTAGCGTCTTCAAAAAACTCACGCCTATTCCATTATCTGGAGCGAATCTGCAAAGTCATAAAACGCTAATGCCTATATATAGTCTATAACCCTGAAAGTAATTATGAGGGTTAGATATATATTTCAATGCTCTGCAGAACTGAGGCTAGAAGGTTTCATCGTTTGCTTTTGCAGTGTTCTGTATAACATCTAGTTCGCAGATAAAGAGTTTTTTCTTTCAGTTATTTCAAAAACACCTCTACCTATGCGAAGGATTTCATTTCACGATTATTCGTCCGAGATGTCCAGTTACGTGCCAACGTTGACGATTGCTTACGCCATCCATGGATTCGAGGGGTTCGTCACTATATTGGTATCCATCGATCGATTTTCGAGTAGATCAGAACTCAGCGGCGAGCAGCATTAGAATTCGACTTTTATGAAAACGAGCTTAGCGTATTAGTAACAAAATCGAAATGAGTTTTCGGCAACGAACTAAGATCGTTGTCGCTTTTAATCAAACATTGAGGATTTTTTTGTTTTGAGAAATATAATTGGATAAAATGAGATAAAGTAAAATAATAAATCGAAAAAAAGTGAAAACAACGTTCAAGGGGGATTGGTCTTCCCGGAAGGGTCTCGCAAAGCTGAAAAGGAGTCTGGCCTCTCCATTAGGAAATCTGGCTAAGAGTAAACCAATACCAAGGTCCACCACTGCCCTGATATGAAAGTAGTCGCATGGTGGCAAATCTCGTTCTAATGCCTTTGGTGGTGACGACCTAGGGCAGACTTTGGCCAGACTGACCACGGGATTCCAAGGAACCACAATGGCTAAACCAGCAAGCCTCCAAAAAATGGAGATTATCCTGGGGTCCGCATAACTAGTGAGGACAGGCCATCCAAGTATCCAAATATCGATGCACGGCATGGACATCATCTCGAACAACTGTCATAAATATTCCTTGTTACGCTAATTTTTTTTAGGGTGAAAAAGGAAAAAATGACAGTTTTGAATTTCTAGTATTCTTAAAATATCTAATACTCGGTCAATCGTGTAATCCGAAACTGTTATTCGTTCGAGGTTAAATTAATAAAAAGAAAAACTTACATGGGTTTTGTAGATTCTCTTCTTTTGTATGAACTTTTTCCATGTGGTATCGTAATGTCTTCCTTAAACGGCGAACCCATGCATCTGCTGGAAGAGTCTACGATATCAACGCCTTATAAGTCTGATGTCTAAGTATCTTGTTGAGAATTTCATTTTCCACATTCCAAACGTATTAAAGGGTTTTAAAAAGATATACTTGCTAGTTTCCTACTTGAGCAAACAACGACAGTCTGCGTAACCATAGAAATAGCGCAATACCGGCGTTGTAGAAAAGTTCTCCGGATTTTAGGATTCCCCATTTGACCGATTTCAGCCCGATGGTGGTGATGTCGACTTGCGAAAATCGTCATGTATCACTATTTCACATATTCACTCATTCAAACTCCGTCAGCGATGGCGGGTAGGTGCTTATCTTATCTATTTTTACCTTACTCATATTCTAATCCCTTTTTTCTAACTTATCTTTTTCTGCAATTTAATTTCCTTTCTAGCTTTATATAGAAATCTTTCACCAATCGATAATAAAAGCACTTGAGTCATCATGTAATGTTTATTCTCCTAGCAGATCGTTCTGATGAAAATTTTCTCAAGTTTAGCGGGCTCATAGGTTGTTTCACTTTATGACATCAGAATATCTTATTCTAACTCTTCAATTTCTCCTTTTCTTCCACTACTTTCGTTTTTTCTCTTGTTCTGCTCATCTTTTATTTAAAAACGTTCTCTTACCTGAACAACACCTTTTTCTTTAGAGTAATAATTGCATTATCGAGCGGGTCGATTTGAGGTAGTGATGCCGATCGTCACGATCACAGTGATGACTTGATCCGGCTCTGGGCTGAACAAGTCTCTCATTCCTTCGGGGTTAGGAAATTAGTACTACGATTGTCCGGGTAAAGTCACTCTCCGGTCCAATTGAGAACGCTCTAGCCTCCCTAAGGACTTCAGGGAGAGTAAACTCGACCAGCATTCAACGGCATTCATGTCGGAAGTAAAATCCTCAAGCAGAAACCGAACCCAAATCCAAAAAAATAGCAGAATCTTTATGGATGGTGGATGCAAAGAAAGGAGTCCAACGCAGGAAGTGCTAGGATTCGCACAGTAGATGTGAGGATGAGGCATGCAAAATGAAAAGAAATAGTTATATTAGCAGACTTCCCTACCTCACGATCAACCACCTGTATTGTATTTCACCTGTTTCTTTTCAGCGACAACTACATCACGTCCATTGATTGCAGAAAGGGAACAAAATTACTAAAACAAAAAACAATATTTGATTGAGATATAGCCTCTCTAGTCTTGCTATCCGATTCATATCCTTTCTCACTTGCATGGAAAGGTTTACCAAGTGAAGACATCATTCTTCTAAAACCTTCTTACAACACCACAACGGATGCATACTAGGTTAGGGAGTCAGTTTAGGTTAACCCTATCAATTACAATAGTCACGATGTTTTTTTTTGATTTGTTTCCTTACCTAGCTGTAATATATCTTTTTATTTGTAAAGTACACACACGAAGCTAATGATTTGCTTAATTAGAACTCTTTGGAAAAAGAGGGTTTAAGAAGTGTTTTCCGGTCTAGTGTTTTCTATTTCTGCCTACTTCTTACTGACTAGTAGTGGAAGTTTTCAGCGAGCTATCGAATTGGTTTTGATATGCAATCGAGTGACTCGATCGGTTCGACTGGCGTTAACCAGTCGGCGGACGGAAAAGAAGCGTAACATCGAATCGCGCTACGATCCGGTAAGCGGATTCAACCGGATTCAACCGGATTCATCTTTACTTTGTTTTGGTTTTCTTTTCCCATCCAAAAAGTTCGTATTCCTCAAAACATAGTCCTATCTCCGTTCTGTTGTCATGTAAGCTCGCTTTATTCAAAAAACAGTTGACAAGTAATCAATCTAAGGAAATAGAAAATTACGAACGAGATTTCAGTAGGGAATGTATTGGACATTTTCGGTTTTCTTTTCTCAATTTTCCTATTTTCTCACTTTCCTTCTCTTTCTTTGCTTTTTTAGCTAGTCATTCTTTTTTCTTTTATCCTGTCCAATTTAGCACCAAATATAAATTCAACTAAAAAGCTGGGCTTCCAGTAGTGAAAGACGACCGTAGTGATGAAAGAATGATCTATTTATTTATATGATCTTATAAACTGATCTTCTTAGACTGACGCGAGGTTGGTACAGATCTTCGTTGTCGTTGTCGTTGTTTTTGATGTTATCGACCAACAACATCAAAAACAACGACAACGACAACGAAGATCTGTACCAACCTCGCGTCAGTTTAAGAAGATCAGTTTATAAGATCATATAAATAAATATATCAACTATCTATGCCAAGGTTTATAGAAAGTCGGTCTTTCGAGTTATTGAAAGAATGCTCGTTGAAGAACTGTTTTTAGAGATATAATAAAGAAAAAAACGAGTGGTTGCTGATGGCACTGCTCGATAGAGCTAACTGAGAGACAGGCGAAGCGAAGGACCCCCACTGTGTGGTGGTGAAGGCGTTAGCTACCAGAAAAGGTAATAGCGCTTTCGTTACCTGCCACAGACACCTGCGGTCCGGAGTTTTGCAAATATCTCAGCATCATTGTGGTTATACCACCCCTGTCGTGAAAAATTGTAATAGGCAGTAAACAAAAAGTTAACATTATGGTTTCGCGTACATCCTCATCTTAACCAGGTTCACTGCCGATTTGGGGTCGCCAGATCAATTCCGTTGACGGGTGATTGCTGGTGGCACTGATCGATAGAACTAGCTGAGAGATAGGCGAAACGAAAGACCTGAAAGACCTGTGGTGCTGAACGTGTTAGTCCCGGAAGTGGTAATAGTGCGTTCGTTCCCCACCGCAGACACCTGTGGTCCGGAGTTTTGCAAATATCTCAGCATCATAGTTTTAACATATAAGAAATTTCAGGAAAAAAAAAACAAAGGAGTTAATTCAATTCGCATGGAAGGAACTTGGGGAGACTCTTCTTCTTTTCATGTTTCGCCACTAATAGGAATTTTTATGGACAAGCTTATAAAGTTAAACACTTATCGTTAGTTTTCGTAGACGTCCATTTCATCTTGTGCTACCGAGCATTCCTGTTTGATTTGAAAGTTTTCTAGTAGAAGGATTCGACTAGTTCTGATTGATTTATTTCTTTTAAACCAACCAGTAAAAGTCCACTTTAATTTTCCTTTTTTGAAATCTTTTCTTTTTTCTACTAATCTGCTGAATTTTCTGTTGGAAATCTGAAATTTCAAATGAATGAGAAGCCTTTGGTTTGTTCACTTCTTAAGTCTTGGTAATTGTTGCACCGTTTTGACAGGTTGCTCTTTTTTCAGAATGACATCGTCACTTCGTCGGTATTGATAGCTGCTCAAACCGGTTGTGTTCGTGAATTAAATGAACTTAGTGCCGTTCGAGGCTTTCCAAACCTCATCAATAGGGTTCGTTTTTTTTCTCGGATAATTTTGAAATTAAAAAAGGAACCAGCAAAGTGAAGAACTTTGGAGGGAAAGTCGATTTCTTTAGCACAAAGAGACCGCTGCTCATGTCGCGGCCGGAGCCGGTCATATGGAAGCGCTTGGATTTCTCATCATGAAAGGTGCACAACTGTCTGTCGTCGATCAACAAGGTTTGCATCAAGTTCTCAGTTTTAAAGTGCCAGAATATGACGTATATACAAGCCCTAGTATATCATCAAGTCCAAAGCTTTTAACTACACGAATACGCTGGATATATAAGAAAATCATGGTAGTGTTGGTGATCCGGAAAGTTTTAAATTAGTCCAGAGAACTGCTGCTCTCTGTGTTGATTTGGTTTGCTTTATTCACTAATTTTATAAATTTTAGATTACATTTTCACGTAGAATATCTTAGCTCCCTCTAGAACATTTCTTACGAAATGTTCCAAAAGTTATTCCCTTACTATTTGCTGCAATAACTAGAGGAACATTCCGACTTAATAAGCGGATTTCATCTCACGTTTTCTTATTTTCTAAAAAAAAGTGCAAGAAAGAATATTTCGTAAAAAGAACTATGTTTTAACTCCTTTGTAGGTCAGTTAATCTGTCCGTAATTCGTTTGTTGTTTCGAGTGGATTTCTTATGAAAATTGTCTAGTCATGTTAACTTTCTTAAAATTCCTTATGTGTTAAAACTACGATGCTGAGGTGTTTGCAAAACTCCGGACCGCAGGTGTCTGCGGTAGGGAATGAACGCGCTATTACTTTTTCTGGAGCCCAACACGTTCACTACTACACTATACGGGTCCTTCGTTTCGCCTGTCCCTCAGCTCTATTGAACAGTGCCATCAGCAATCACCTGTCAACAGGATAGATCTGAGGAGCCCAAATCACCACTGAACCCAGTTAAGCTGAGGCTGTAGTTGAGATCACAGTGTTTGCTTTTTATTTGCTGCCTTCTAGAATTCTTAGCGGTGGGGTGTTAAAATTATGTTAACACTGAAAAGAGATCTTTAGAAGAGTATCATTCTAGTATTTCATTCCATTTTAAAGAAAACGCTCGGTAGCAAATACCACCAACAATTTTTTAATGTCTTTTCCCCTGTGGTGAAAAATCGCCTTCGTTGTTTCACAGGAGGATTCCCTATACTTACTCATCTCCAAATTTATGCAATATGTTTAGAAAAAGCTTCATTAGAAGTCTTTTAATTAACCAAGTCCTATGTGACGAATGAGAATGGAATTGAATTTCGCACAGAAATTGAGAGAAAGGAAAAAAACTGCAGAAACTTCTTCGTCCATTTCAGAGTCTACACGTAAACTCTTTGATGAGTGGAAAGACCAAAGAGTGAATAGGCTAAATGTGTATTACAACGAAAAGCACACCACAAGTTTCTATCTTTGTTAGTTTTAGTTAATATTCCATATTTGTTTGTTTTAAACTGAAACTTTTTGAAAAGTGCACTATTTATTGGAAAAGAAAGCTTCTTTGGTGACGTGGTTAGTGATGCAGTCCATCTTTGAAGTAAGGTGCTAGTTCAATCCCTTCCTCAACGCTCTTCTCCAATCCACATGTAAACGCCTTGGCTCTGCTATCTTAGGGCCTCAAGAAGAAGAGAGCAGTCGAAACAACGTGCGAAATTTTCAGAGCTTTGTGGACGATGAAGGCGAGTGAACATTATTCGAATGCAGGTGCTGGGATCCGCACAGTAGATGTGACTATGGTTCATGTAAAATAAATGAAGTGAAATGTGAAAATGTATTCCTTCATATATAACCTAACACGAGGTTGATAAATCGGGTACTATATCGGCGCCTTGGTCTTCCTCTGAACCCGATTGATCCGAGTCGATATCCGCAGTTCTTCATTCTTCCGATATGGACCTTCATCATCGCATCTGTTTGAATCTAATGAGGCACCGTTCGGGTGAAGAACCTCACTCGGCAGTGCGCTTTCATACAGGAAGACTGTTGTTAATAATGATTGTCCTTCCTATCTTCTCTCT